CATAGATTTATCATCACAATATCCAAAATCTTCATTTTTCGGTGTCGAAAAACCCTCTTCAGTAATTCTTGATCACACTCCACCAACACCACAAAATGTTTCAATTCAATACTGTGACATTTTATCCAGACTACCATTCGAGGATGAAACATTTGATTTTATATATGTACGATTTATGGCTTGTGAACTACCTGATAATAAATTTGAAGAGATAATAAATGAGTTGGAGAGAGTTTTAAAAACTGGTGGATATTTGGAAATTATGGATATTGATGCTCAAGGTGGTAACGAAGGAATGTTAACACAAGAATTTATGTCTTCAGGTAATTTCAATACCAATCTTTCTAATTTTTTATATTAGATTCTATACATATAACGTTATCAAAATATTAATATCTAAATCCTATCTACCTCAATCAATCAATATAGTTCGATCATACTATAAATCAATAGGAATAAATCCTCTCATAACAGCATCTCTAGAACCTCTATTCCGTTCCATTTCTCATATAACCTCCATAACTACTGAAAGGCAATGTTACCCAATTGGTAATTGGGATAACCCTATTGGTGAACTTGCTTTAGAAAACTTGTTTATGGTTTTGAAGCAGATTAAAAATCATTTAGCTCCTTATATGAGACTTACTGATGATGACTATAATATGAATCTTTGTAAAATTAAAGAAGAGGTTGATCTCTTTCAAACTTATTGGAATAGCGTTAGGGTTTATGGAAGAAAGGTGACATAAACGAACCTTCATTTTAAAATTTTGATATCATGATATTTATGTACTTTTTGTCTAAAAAAAAAAAAAAAAATTCTTTGCCGGATTGAATATGAATCGTTAGCTATTAATATTTGCTATAATATTAAATTGAAATGATGTCATATAAATAACCGCTGTTTTTGATATATTAAAATCTGACAAGACAATAAATAATTAACAAAAGAGCGATTAAATCATTGTCTGATTTGATTTGTAAATTTAGTAGTTAAACCTATCAATATTTTAAAGAATTTTATTATTTACCGCTATGGCAGGTTCTTAAAAAATCACACCAAACAAATTAGTCAGAAAGACTACCAAAATATGTTATCTTCACATAACTTGTATTTTTGATAGTCTTTCCGGCTAATTCGTGGCTCTATTATTTATGTATCGCATTTATCAGAGTTCCGGTAAGTTAAAGTTTGAGCATTAGGGTAATTCATATAATAATATAATAAACGTTAACATATCGGCTGATTTGATTTTTTGGGCCTTTTTTCGATAAACAAGTGATGTTAAAAAAGAAACAAATGAAGTACTTATTATAACTAACAAAAGAGCTTTTTTAACGTCTAGACTAGAT